AGTAGTAGTAGTAGTAGTAGTAGTAGTAGTAGTAGTAGTAGTAGTAGTAGTAGCAGTAGTAGTAGTAAAAGCAGTAGTAGTAGCAGTAGCAGCAGTAGCAGCAGTAGCAGCAGTAGCAGCAGTAGCAGCAGTAGCAGCAGCAGTAGTAGTAGCAGCAGCAGTAGTAGTAGTAGTAGTAGTAGTAGTAGTAGTAGTAGTAGTAGTAGTAGTAGTAGTAGTAGTAGTAGTCCATGGCAACGTTTGTATTATGCCATATTTCTGTCGAAAAGAATACGCAGAGAAGGAAGAGCAGTAGTCACAATTGTATTAATAAGAGCTGATTCTTCTCCACAGTAACAAGACTGGCTGGGCCATCTGCTGTATCTTCAAACACAACTTTTTCTATTGTAAATATTGTCTTTAACACAGTTTAGATCATTTGAGTGGTGGATTGCAGGCTAAACCGACAATACCAAGCCAAGCTAGGTTAGGTACAACATATCAGCAGACAACTGGAATAAAAATGAGATAAACTCGATAAAACAATACCGGTATGCAGGAATCGAACTCATTTCTTCAGTCTGAAACCTTCACCGGATAATATCACCCCTGCCGCAGGGTCGCCAATTGAGGAAGTATCTACCAATCAATTCACTTAATGTTGAGGCCATGCAAAGTATGCCTGTGTGCACTATAATTAAACGAAGTGTTGGAATGCATATGTTCCCCTCTACGAATATGTATCAATTAATTACAAAGAGTATGCCTTTAACCAACGCATATAGGTTGCCTTTGCCCAGGGTTTACCTTTTTACCTGAAGGGCGATAGGCGTGGCTGAAGCAATTAAACCAAGAGCCAGGGATTAAATATTGATGAAAATCCACAGGGTTTATAATTGCTCTTGAGGGCAGGGAAGCGAAGTAACCATAAACCATGAAATCAACTAGTATTTATGTATTAGAACGTATTCACCTGTGCATGATTTGAAAGGGGGGGGGGCGATCAAATTGGCGAAGTCATAAGGATAGAATGATGCAATTTGTTTTTAAGTGCAGGTGTTTTATGCCCCTATCGACGCAGTTTAGACCATATTATTATTGGAGGCAGGATTCGAACCAGCCTGTCAAAACCAGCCTGTCAAAACCAGCACGAGCTGAGAGGGATACAATGTCCCAGCAGGAAGACGAAATTCCAGGTACAACTTCTCTCCACACGGGAATCACAAAGAGTGAAAGAACGAAACAAAGTGTCGCTCAACAAAGAAAATAAAACCTTTAAAAGGCAACAAAATACACCCCAAAAATTAAAACAAAACAAAACAAACAAAATCCACGAAGTATAAATCAGGTGATGTCTCCAATCAACGAGTACAGAGAATAGTTTTATTATGTAAAGAATACTCTTTTTTTTACCCTTTATGAAATAACTTTTTTCCTAATGAAGAAGAGCGGAAAACTTTATATCTGACGACTTATGAAAGAACTTGGTTTACTATTAATTAGGTGTTTTTTTAAATTCATGCTCAAACAAGTAATTGCTGTAATTTATACTTGTTTAGTCTGCAACTGCTAGCCAATTGCGAAACCACGTGTGAGTTGCTGAACTTGTGCAAATTTCAATGGTAGATCACAGACACATTTAATCCCAATTTCCACACAGCAACTTATAGTCTGGTAGAGTGTGTGGACGGTAAAAAAGAGTATAAATTTGGAATAAGATAAGGACACTGTTATCGATATTTCTGACGTGACATTGGATACTTTCAGTTTTGTTGTTTTCTTAAACTCTTTTCCGTGATGATTGTTTATTCATATTATTGTCACTGGTTGTTGTCTTTACTTCCTCCTCCGGTTTAAAGGGTAATCTATTTTTGGAAAGTGAACCATAAAAAAAAAATCTTACGCAAGAATGTTAGTGGCATTTATGCAATCGTTGAAAAGGCTGGGCAGCTCCAAGTACATTACAACTTGACAAACAAAGTTTAGAAATTCGTGATAAAAATGGTGAAATAGTATACGTTTAACGTCCCTATCAACACTATTATGTTATGTAAGAAGCGGGACATCCGAGTTTAACGTTCATCTCCGAATGGACCAAATGGAAAATTGGTGTAAAGTACTTTCCCCAAGGGCACACAGTCGGACCAAGCTGAGGCTTTTAACCCCCGAACCTGCAACCTCACGATTATGGTTCAGGTAGCCTAACCTCTGAGCTACTGACGCCACCTCGGAATTTGTGTCCTTTCTCAAATACAACCATTAAACAATGAGTGCAATGGCAATGGCATGAACAGTTTATTTTAAAAGAAGCAAAAACAAAAGAAAAAACATAAGTAAAGAGAAGAATAAAATTAATGAAAAAAAAAGTCATTCACAGGTTACTTGGTGCTAAACTTATAAGAATAAATAATGTCATTAAAAAAAGAAAAGCAGTTTATTACGTGCTATTTGAAGAGGCTAAAATACAAATTTAAAAAAAATACATTTAAAGGAAAAAGCTAATGAAAAGAATGGAAGAACAATAGTGTACAATTTAAAGAGGTACACATTGAGGCACAGGAACTAAGAGACAGTGTAAAACTACTTGGCACGAACCTAGAAGGGCCACTGCTGTGATGAGCACACAGGGAAACAGGAGATTGAGTACGTAGAACATAGGCTTCCTCTTGATGGTCACCGTAAAAGTCACATCCGGGTACGGCTCTGGACAGCATTTGTAGTATTCAATGTTGTGCTGCACACAAAAAAACAACAGTGGGGAGTTACTGTCCTTTTTTTTTTTTTTACAATACAAATGAGTATA